TATAAATAATTTTCTCTGTTGTTATTAGGCTAACAATCCCTACATGGATATTGCCCTACATTTCAAGATGGTTTCGTTTGATGTTAGAGAAAAATGGCAGTGAAGTTAATATCCCAGACAGAAGAGCAGTGTTTGGACCACAGCTCTGTCCCGGTGCCGCGGCTCGCTACTTTCCCAGATTAAGTAGGATTAGTTCTGGACATTTGGTTTTTTCGCTCTCCCTGTTTCCCAATTTCTTTTTATTCCGGGATCAGCGTCTACGTCTTGTAAGACATGTAACACATCCGTATTCAGGTTTTGAAATCGGAGTGGCTTGACATGACACGCTTGGACACCTGCGTTATAGAGTTGTCTATTTTACATAGTGTGGTTCATATGTGTCTACCCGTCACTTAAAGGTGACTTAAATTGTGTTTCATGTTTAAAAGATTGTATATTATATGTCTGTAATAACCATCAGACATTGTACTATTATGTAAAGTCAGAATTTTCAAACAATCATATATTTATTTATTAGTTATTTTCCTTGTCATATCTACTACCATTGAGATTTGGTGGAGGAGTCTTGACAATGACAAGTAAGTAAGTAATCTTTTATTTATATACCGCCTTTTCACTGCACATCAGAGTCTCAAAGCGGTTTACAATTGTTATTTTTTTGGGAGCGGGGCCAGTACAGGAGGCTCATGCCAGACCTATTATGCATATTTTTAGTGGTAGGGGAAACCGGAGCACCCAGAGGAAACCTACGCAGACACGGGGAGAACATGCAAACTCCACTCAGAAAAGCCCTGGTCCAACCGGGATTTGAACCCAGGACCTTCTTGCTGAGAGGCGAGAGTGCTATCCACTCAGCCACCGTGCCGCCCATAGGACAAGGACCGCATCTTAAAGGACAAGGGACCTTTAAGATGCAGTCATAATATATTGACATTATCCAGTCTTCATTCAGATTTCAAAGACGTCCCTTCAGGGTCTTTCTGCGTGGAGTTTACATGTTCTCCCCATGCCTGTGCAGGTTTCCTCTGGGTGCTCTGGTTTTCACCCCCACAAAAAACATGTACTATAAGAATGAATGATTGAATGGATGGTGTTGAGTGGGGGCTTGGATGCGGCGTCTCACTTCCGACATCCCCGTGTGTGAATGCAAAAATATCTGGTTTCTGAACTTTCTAAAGCGCTTTGGATAACGCTTGGTCTGAAAAATGTGCTATATAAATAAACATGACTTACTTACTTTTTCCAATGCTCCTCAGTCCAACCCATGGAGCGCTCTTCTTCTCAGGACTTGTGGCCCCTGAGGACATTAGCTGGACTCTGTGCACGGATTATCTGGACTCTCTCAGCAGTGTCCTGGGGCAGGCCGCGGTGGTTGTCTGTGGGATGGTGGTTTTAACAGAGGCCTCTAGCCCCGGGGCCCCATGTCTTTATATTTTTATTTTGGGGCCGGCTCCATTCAACCAGCTGGTGTATTAGGCTGACTGTGCACATATACAGTATGTATACACAAGAGGACGGCACAGTGTAGAAGTGTGCTGCTGTTGATCGCAGCGTGTGCAACAGCCACAGACACTTTTCAGGGAGTCCATTTTTCACAAATCACACAGATATACAGTACAGACCAAAAGTTTGGACACCCTCTCTCCTTCACTGAGTGTCTTTTCATGACTATTGCTGTAGATCCACACCAGGCTGTGTAAGGGCTGTTTGACCAATAAGGAGAGTGATGATGCTGGGCCACATGACCTCCACAGTCACCGGACCTGAACCCAGTCCAGATGGTTTTGGACCTGAACCCAGTCCAGATGGTTTTGGACCTGAACCCAGTCCAGATGGTTTTGGACCTGAACCCAGTCCAGATGGTTTTGGACCTGAACCCAATCCAGATGGTTTTGGGGCTGGACCACAGGTGACAGAGGCCAACAAGTGCTAAGCATCATGGGAACTCCTTCAAGACTGTTGGAGACCATTTCAGGTCCTGTTGAAGCTCATCCAGAGAATGCCAAGAGTGAAGCAGTATCAGAGCAAAAGGTGCTACTTTGAAGAACCAGGATATAACACATATTTACACTTGTTTCATACTTTTTTTTAGTACGTACATAATTCCACATGAGTTAATTCATAGTTTTGATGCCTTCAGTGTGAATCTACAATTTTCATAATCATGAAAATACAAAACTCTTTCAACGAGAAGGTGTGTCCAAACTTTTGGTCTATACTGTAATCAAAATGTAATGCAATCCTTGTGGTGAACACAAATAAACATCTGTGATTTAACTATATAAGGGTCAGATGTGGGAATGCCCTTTATTTAAGAGATCCATATTTTAGTCACATTATAGTGAAAGATTCTGGCATGTTGAATTTCACATTTTCAATCAAATATCGCTCTTGTAAATGAGTTGCACACATGAATGCAGTGGTCAGAACCATTCATAGAAATAAGAAAACTCTTGTAAAAAGCAAATCTGAATTCTGATACTTGGGAGCTCTTGAACATCATTTCCTGTTCCTTTCAAACACCGCCACGGCCAATCTTCCTCCGCCGGCAACAACTCCAAACTCAGCATCTTTTCACTCATATTATTTGTGCCGATGTCCAAACCATCTCCATCTGAATAGAAAACAACATTTCCATCGCACGAAAGATGGCCGCAAGTCCCAGCGTTAGCCAAAGGTAGATATAATAAAACATATGGAGCACTTTCAGAAAGCCTCTTTGGATGTCGGAACAAAAACTGTTTGATTTGGGCCTCAGGGTTTTGCCAGGTTTTCATGTAAAACTCTAAAACCCGTTAAATATGTTTGTGTATTATGAGGGAGCAAACACCTCCACAGATCTGACTCGTGCTGGCGGAGAACCTGCTTGTTACCATCGAAGGGTCCTTTGCCTGTAATATTTATCATTTATACACAACCATTGGTAGTTTTTGTTTTGCAATAATAATTTAGCCTAAGATGAAAGAGTCACAGTAGCTCAGTTGGTAGAGCATTGGCCTCTGAGGCTGAAGGTTGTGGGTTCGAGCCCACCACAAGAGCTACTTCATGACTCCCACTGATGACTGCTGTCGTTGTGTCCTTGGGCAAGACACTTAACCCCACTTTGCCTGAAGCCCCCGCTGAAATAAAGAAGCCATCCTCCTGTGGACTCAGCACCTGCAGGAGGATTAGTGAGAGACTGGGACTAAGGGGCGGCATCTCTGGCCACCCAGACCCCCCCCCCCCCACCCAGAAATGGATTAAGGGGAAGAAAATGGAGAAAAGTTTGTACTTCTTCCCATTCCCTTTCGTATTGTATTAGCATGTATTATAATTACTATTATTTTATTTACACAAACATTATTATTTATTTATTTTTGTGTTTTTGTTATGTACTTACACATGTATATACAATTGTCTTTGTATATCTAGTTTTATCAGCACAGTATAGAATAAACTTTCTATCCATGGGAACTATGTCGTATTAAGTTACATTGAAATGGCTTTAAATAATCATAAAAACATAAACTGTGATTGTGATGTCTTCATTATTCAACGACCTAATATCTATTTCCTTCATTTTCTCTAGTTGAATTGCCTGACAGGGACTTTCCATATCCATAAGCAGGACAAAGCCACAGGAGAAACGATTGTCAGATGCAAACATTAAGTCACTGTTTGGTTTTGTTCCAGAGTTTCTGACTTCTTCAATCTCTTTCTCTTCCACTTTGGTGGATTAGGAAAATGAAGTCCTCTGACAGACTGTGCACGAGCTCTGGCAGAAAGAGAATCACCTCCAGTCATCTCCAAGTCTGTGTCGCAAGGAACGACAAACTTACTCTAATCATCTGAGTCATGCTTAATCAGTAAAACAATAGGATACAAAAAAGTAAATACTATTTTTATTTTTCTGAACTCGGCGAAAGCAAGAGGTCATTTAATTGTTGTTTGTGCAAAGCAATGAGTGGTGGGACTCTGAGGAGCACAGGGACTGGCCTCCTGCTGGGACTCTGAGAAGCACAGGGACTGGCCTCCTGCTGGGACTCTGAGGAGCACAGGGACTGGCCTCCTGCTGGGACTCTAAGGAGCACAGGGACTGGCCTCCTGCTGGGACTCTGAGGAGCACAGGGACTGGACTCCTGCTGGTTCTCTGAGAAGCACAGGGACTGGCCTCCTGCTGGGACTCTGAGGAGCACAGGGACTGGCCTCCTGCTGGGACTCTGAGGAGCACAGGGACTGGACTCCTGCTGGGACTCTGAGAAGCACAGGGACTGGCCTCCTGCTGGGACTCTGAGAAGCACAGGGACTGGCCTCCTGCTGGGACTCTGAGGAGCACAGGGACTGGCCTCCTGCTGGGACTCTGAGGAGCACAGGGACTGGACTCCTGCTGGGACTCTGAGAAGCACAGGGACTGGCCTCCTGCTGGGACTCTGAGAAGCACAGGGACTGGCCTCCTGCTGGGACTCTGAGGAGCACAGGGACTGGACTCCTGCTGGGACTCTGAGGAGCACAGGGACTGGCCTCCTGCTGGGACTCTGAGGAGCACAGGGACTGGCCTCCTGCTGCTCCTCCTTGCCTTGTGTATGAGTTGTACAATACAAATAAACTTGCCTTGCCGATTGACAAAACTGGACATCTCAAAATATGTTTTTGAACCCCAAAAGTAATCACATTTGTGCTAACACTGTATTTAAATATTGTAGTCAAAAAATACATATTTTCCTGTTATTCATCCCAAAACATTTTTTTCCTATTATTTCTCTCCCTTTTACAAACACATGTTTCCAAACTGTCATGTTTCTGTCAGAACAGCATGTTGTGAACAGATTTGCAGCTCTGTGAGAAACATCTGAAAGACGTTCAGAGACTTTCAGACTTTCAGTTTCATTAAAGACGGTTCTGTTCAAACCCACTCTTTTTGTTATTTACGGTGTTGTTTTGGCTGAAGTCGCGCCGTGTTGGTGCTGTAACACTGGGACATTCTTGGTGTGAAGAGTGCATGCTTCAGAGGTCGCGGGCGAATGTCCAATCTCATTCCTTCTGCTCCCACGGTAACGGTGGCGAGGGGAGGGGCCTGAAGTCTTGACTATTGTTCTGTGTTCGGCAGAGTACTGTGAATGCCAAGTTAAGGATTGAGTCAATGGCGGTAAACCACTTAACCCACTCAGATTTAAACATGGGGCTGATTGTTTTAAGATTCTGAGGATTTCAGGATTCTGGCTTTCGAGCAAAAATACAATCTTTTAAACTTTGAATTCAAGGTTTTGGGTGAGTAATGGATTGGTGTGGCCGAAGGGGCTCATGGCTCAGATTAGATGTGGAAGTATCACTACACATCAGTCTGCCCCAGGGCAGCTGTGGCTACAGTGGTAAAGCCGCTCCTTGTTATTATTATGAAACTTGACACTATTTCTCCAAGACATGAATTAGTTCTTCTGCAGTTATCTGGGCCAACGAAGCGAAACTTGCAGCCCCTGCCGATTTATTTTCTTCTTTGTGCCAAAATGCCTTTATACTGTTATAAACTAGGACATAATATACACTTTTAATTTTATATTCAGTTGGCAGATTATGAGCACGTAGGACAGTAAATTGAGGGCTATTCTAAGACATTTTTTTCTTTCAAGAAATATTCTTGTTGGTTAAATAAACAATTCCCCATGACTTAGGAAGGATGTATAAATGCTCAAAGTACTATTATATATTATCAAGACATTTACAAGTCCATGTATCAAATAATAATATGTAACAATGATTTTATCACAGTATGTGTTTGGTAATGTCGGCGTGGATTGAAAAAGAGAAAAGACCAATCGTTGCTAAGTGAATTGTGTCAAAAGTGAATTGGTTGAAAATGTGTGGTCAGGAATTGTAAGGTTCATTTAAAGCCTCCGTGCAGCAGCTAAAGGCTTAAAGAGGGGGATTCTGCAGAACAAGCACAGACACAGACACACGCGCGCACACACACACACACACACACACACACTGTATTAATGTGCTTTCAGTGGGTGCCAGATAAGCCCGAGTAATAACGTTGCCATCTCAGCTAATTTTAGCCCCGTATTGAATGTGGTGTGAATCGTGTTCATGGCAACATCTCGTCTTCAGGTCTGTACGTCCTGTCGCTCAGTGAATACAACAAATCAGTTTTGGCAGTAAGTAATGTTTATTTATATAGCGCATTTTACAGACCAAGGTCAACCAAAGCGCTTTACAATTGTTCAGAGTTCAGATTTCATTCCCTCCACACTGGTCCATCAAAGCCTCCGACCAAACACCATCCATTCACTCACTGTATTACATCCATACTTATTATGCATGTTTTTAGTGGTAGGGGGAACCGGAGTACCCGGAGGAAACCTACGCAGTCACGGGGACAACATGCAAACTCCACTCAGAAAAGCCCTGTTCCGACCGGGATTCAAACCCAGGAACTTCTTGCCGAGAAGTGAGAGTGCTAACCACTCAGCCACCGTGTTGCCCTAGTATCGCTTGTTTCTAGATATTTATTCATTTTCCCTCACATTACCACCAACACACGCACACACACAGGAGAGTGAAGTAAAGTGGGTTTTTATACTTAGTTATTATTATTGTGTTCAAGATGGAGATTTTATACTTGTTCTTTGATGCTAGAGATGTTAGAGATTGTATTTTAGTTTAATCAGTACAGCTATTGCTCACTTATCTTGTGCTGTGTGCTCCTCATTCCTACTGTTCTGTAACTTGTGCAACACTGAAATTTCCCTTGATCTTAATCTTCCCCGAGCTGAACCACAGACCTCTGCGTTGATGAACGAATACTTTAACCATTGAGCCATTTCACCCCATATAGTTTAAACTGCCAGGTCAATAACACCAATCAAATACATGACTAATATATACAGTATTGTAAAGTATTTAGTAATTATTATCACTTTGTTGTATGATTTTTTTTCTTGCTTGTGGTAGTACACATCCCACCTGCTTCTCTTGTCTTTTTTGTGGAGGATTCAAAAGAACTGAGCCTTTTGTAATTCTGAGTAATAACCTTTGAGAAAATGCCTGTGCCTGTTTTGTCCCGCCCACTCACGCAGAAGCAAAGATAAAGCCTATTTTGTGCAGAACTATTTGATAAAAAAAGGTCTAGATATTGTTTTGTTAATGTGTTTTCGTCGGATTTTTGGTCCCACTCTGTTTTTTTCTTTATTAAAAACAAAATTATTTCAGCTTTCAGACTCTTTAAGCTGCAGGTAGACACTGTAAGATACTAGACTTGGGGACAGAACAAGTATTTAAATCCAGAAATAAAATTAATAATTATAATACTACAATATTAATAATATAATATCACAAAAAACATTTGCGCATGACTTAGCCATCACTGTGATTGGTTGCCGCACTGTGTCCAGTGGAAAAAGTTCAATAATGTTCATCTCCTGCTTTTGCCGCTTGCACAGTGTCGCCGCAGTCGCCGCCTCTGCCGTGCCGTGTCTGCCGCATCAGTGACTTTGCATTGAAACTGGACGCAACGCATGATCTGGTGTGAACGCTGCTTTAAAGGAGAAGTGTGTAAAAATCTGGTCTAAAGTGGTACTGCAGCCTCTCCCACTCTCCCTGACTCAGGTTGCCAGATATGCAGACGAATCCAGCTGGGACCATAACAGCTGAATAGACAAGAGTTTTGTCAACAACAAATCTATAACCAACACCTTTTTCACAAAGATAGAAATCCTGGTTTTATTCCTTGTTTTGTCGTTAATGATTTGAGAATCATAACGAGACCTTTTTTAGTTCTGCGCCACATGGTACTTTACCAGTGAGATTAGCTCCACACGGTGAGTTCTGGCGCCCGGATCACAGACTTTCTGATTGGTGAAACGGTGGACGTATTGGAAAAGACCATGTTTTATTAATGCCTTTTGACAGATTAGGGCCCTTTAATGATGACTTTACATGAAAATCTCACATATTGCTACTTTAAGTTTCATTAGGCACCTTTATGTAATTTTATTTATAGTCATTTTCTGGGATTGCATCAGTTTAGATATTCTTGTTCAAATTGGATGACCATTTGTGACAGTCGGTTTATCGCTGCACAGACGCTGCACATGCCCCCAGCCATCTTTACCCGCGGTGAAATGTGGTTTCTGGGTTTTTGTGTCCAATTGTCTGGTATTGATATTTACCGCAGCAGTTTTGGGATGGCCTTGGTCCAGCTTGAGGAAGGCAGTTGGCGCTCAGTGGTACAACATCAATGGCTTGGCACTTAGAAGCACCGCAGCTCATTTTAATGAAACACAGTCAAAGTGACACAGAAACTTCAAAGCTTCTCCTGACGTAAAAACTGGTCACTTCATCTCCCAGCGCACACATCCTAAAAAGGCTATCTCCTGCTGACAAAAGCATGTCATGTGTGCTGCTGACAAAGTACGTTGACTGTAAACACGCAGGAATGAGTTCAGAAACAACATCGAGTGGACAAAGAAGAATAAAAAGTAGAAGGGAACAGATTATTGGAAAGATTTTGTTTTGTTTTATCCATCCATTTTATTCTCCTCAATCCATTTCTGGGTCGGGGGGGTGGCAATCAGAGCTGCACCCAACTTACTGGAATGATAACCGGAGCACTTAGAGAACCATATGCAGACACGGGGAGAACATGCAAACTCCATTTAGCAGAAAGGCCCTGTTCCGACTGAGATTCAAACCCAGGACTTTCTTACAGAGAGAAGCGAGAGTGCTAACCCTTTGTGATTGTGTTGATTTTATCTCTGTGCGGGCTGGTTCATATGGGACTAACATGTCTATAGTTATTACTTTAGATTCCAGTGGTTGTATGATGGTCGCCCACTACCTCTAAAAGTTGCTTGTATTGCAATATCTACCTCAAGAAAAACATAGTAAATGTGCCACTGTTTATTTTTGTCTGATTGTAGCGTTGCATACATGTAAGCCTCTGTGCTTTGAGTAGGGATAGTAGAGCCAGCAGAGGCACAGACAGAGTGGCACAGACAGAGTGGCACAGACAGAGTGGCACAGACAGACTGGCACAGACAGAGTGGCACAGACAGAGTGGCACAGACAGACTGGCACAGACAAAGTGGCACAGACAGACTGGCACAGACAGAGTGGCACAGACAGAGTGGCACAGACAGACTGGCACAGACATACTGGCACAGACAAAGTGGCACAGACAGAGTGGCACAGACAGACTGGCACACACAGAGTGGCACAGACATACTGGCACAGACAAAGTGGCACAGACAGAGTGGCACAGACAGACTGGCACAGACAGACTGGCACAGACAGAGTGGCACAGACAGAGTGGCACAGACAGACTGGCACAGACAGAGTGGCACAGACAGAGTGGCACAAACAGAGTGGCACAGACAGACTGGCACAGACAGAGTGGCACAGACAGAGTGGCACAGACAGAGTGGCACAGACAGAGTGGCACAGACAGACTGGCACAGACATACTGGCACAGACAAAGTGGCACAGACAGAGTGGCACAAACAGACTGGCACAGACAGAGTGGCACAGACAGACTGGCACAGACAGAGTGGCACAGACATACTGGCACAGACAAAGTGGCACAGACAGAGTGGCACAGACAGACTGGCACAGACAGAGTGGCACAGACAGAGTGGCACAGACAGACTGGCACAGACAGAGTGGCACAGACAGAGTGGCACAGACATACTGGCACAGACAAAGTGGCACAGACAGAGTGGCACAGACAGACTGGCACAGACAGAGTGGCACAGACAGAGTGGCACAGACAGAGTGGCACAGACAGACTGGCACAGACAGAGTGGCACAGACAGAGTGGCACAGACAGACTGGCACAGACATACTGGCACAGACAAAGTGGCACAGACAGAGTGGCACAGACAGACTGGCACAGACAGACTGGCACAGACAGAGTGGCACAGACATACTGGCACAGACAAAGTGGCACAGACAGAGTGGCACAGACAGACTGGCACAGACAGAGTGGCACAGACAGAGTGGCACAGACAGAGTGGCACAGACAGACTGGCACAGACAGAGTGGCACAGACAGAGTGGCACAGACAGAGTGGCACAGACAGACTGGCACAGACAGAGTGGCACAGACAGAGTGGCACAGACAGACTGGCACAGACATACTGGCACAGACATAGTGGCACAGACAGACTGGCACAGACAGAGTGGCACAGACAGAGTGGCACAGACAGACTGGCACAGACATACTGGCACAGACAAAGTGGCACAGACAGAGTGGCACAGACAGACTGGCACAGACAGAGTGGCACAGACAGACTGGCACAGACAGAGTGGCACAGACAGAGTGGCACAGACAGACTGGCACAGACAGACTGGCACAGACAGAGTGGCACAGACAGACTGGCACAGACAGACTGGCACAGACAGAGTGGCACAGACATACTGGCACAGACAGAGTGGCACAGACAGAGTGGCACAGACAGACTGGCACAGACAGAGTGGCACAGACAGAGTGGCACAGACAGAGTGGCACAGACAGACTGGCACAGACAGAGTGGCACAGACAGAGTGGCACAGACAGACTGGCACAGACAGAGTGGCACAGACAGACTGGCACAGACAGAGTGGCACAGACAGAGTGGCACAGACAGACTGGCACAGACAGACTGGCACAGACAGAGTGGCACAGACAGACTGGCACAGACAGAGTGGCACAGACATACTGGCACAGACAGACTGGCACAGACAGAGTGGCACAGACAGAGTGGCACAGACAGACTGGCACAGACAGAGTGGCACAGACAGAGTGGCACAGACAGACTGGCACAGACAGAGTGGCACAGACAGACTGGCACAGACATACTGGCACAGACAAAGTGGCACAGACAGACTGGCACAGACAGAGTGGCACAGACAGAGTGGCACAGACAGACTGGCACAGACAGACTGGCACAGACATACTGGCACAAACAAAGTGGCACAGACAGAGTGGCACAGATAGACTGGCACAGACAGACTGGCACAGACAGAGTGGCACAGACATACTGGCACAGACAAAGTGGCACAGACAGAGTGGCACAGACAGACTGGCACAGACAGAGTGGCACAGACAGAGTGGCACAGACAGACTGGCACAGACAGACTGGCTCAGACAGAGTGGCACAGACAGAGTGGCACAGACAGACTGGCACAGACAGATTGGCACAGACAGAGTGGCACAGACAGACTGGCACAGACAGACTGGCACAGACAGAGTGGCACAGACAGACTGGCACAGACAGAGTGGCACAGACAGAGTGGCACAGACATACTGGCACAGACAAAGTGGCACAGACAGAGTGGCACAGACAGACTGGCACAGACAGAGTGGCACAGACAGAGTGGCACAGACAGAGTGGCACAGACAGAGTGGCACAGACAGACTGGCACAGACAGAGTGGCACAGACAGACTGGCACAGACAGACTGGCACAGACAGACTGGCACAGACAGACTGGCACAGACAGAGTGGCACAGACAAAGTGGCACAGACAGACTGGCACAGACAGACTGGCACAGACAGAGTGGCACAGACAGAGTGGCACAGACAAAGTGGCACAGACAGATTGGCACAGACAGACTGGCACAGACAGAGTGGCACAGACAGACTGGCACAGACAGACTGGCACAGACAGAGTGGCACAGACAGAGTGGCACAGACAAAGTGGCACAGACAGACTGGCACAGACAGAGTGGCACAGACAAAGTGGCACAGACAGACTGGCACAGACAGAGTGGCACAGACAGAGTGGCTCGCCCGCTGCTGACTCAATGCTCATAGTTTTGGCATTTAGGTCATCTTCTTTTTCTACGGCAACCGAACCTCTGCTGCGGTTCCCCCCGGGGCCTGGAAAGCATCTCAGATTTACGGTACATACTTTCTCCCAGTCGACTTTTGGTGTTGGAAGCTCAAGCCGTGTGAAACGTGACGCTCCGACTGTGCAAAAGGACGAGACATTGTCCACAGCCCCCGGCACCAGGAGTCACCGTGACATCGGGTCGCTGCCATTGAGCATTAAAATCCTCCTGAAAAAATGACATATAATTTACGTTGCATTAAAAAGAGCTGCACAATATTGGAAATTAGTGCGATATTCGATATGAGTGTTTAGTATTGCGATTACGATATTATTGCGATATTTTTGACAAATAAAAAAAAATTAGCATAACATTAAATGCTCATAATTAAATAAATATTGTTTTGTTTGGTTGTTGTTCTTGTTGAATGTTGATTTGTCTGTTTTGTTGTCTTTTTTTATTGCGGATATTTTTGATATGGATATTGCAAGCACCAATATTGCGATAACAATATTTTTTTGATATATCTTGCAGCCCTAGCATTAAGGTTTGTTCCTTAAATGTCTTTTATTATTATTAGTACATTTTGCCTCATAGACTGTAAATAATAACAGATTTTTTTTTATTGTTAGTACATTTCTATCATGTATAATCTGTAATTGCTGTTAATCATATAATTGAAATAAATCCAATCAATCAATTTTTATTTTATATATTTTTATATTTTTATAATAATATTGTTCTTTCATTTTGTTTAGTTGTATTTGTATTACACATTATCTTTTTATTATTAGGATTTTTATTATTAGGATTTTTATTTGAACATTGCTTATTATATCCCAGCCCTTTCCTTGTGTTCATTCAATATATTGTAATAATCAGTCATAAAAGCCATACAGAGAAAATATTATGTTCTGTTACTTTTTTTTGGCACAATTGGTGAAAAGACAAAAAGATAAAAAGTATCTTAAATAGTATATAAAATTTGCTTTGATCATGTCGACAGGTAAAACGGTCTATTTCAAATCAAACTGAATTCATATTTATTAGTCTTTTGTTTATTAACTCTTGTCACATTCACACTACAGTCCGTACAGAGTCTATACAGAGGAAAACCCACAATCCCGGGCTACGGCGACGCTAATGGTCTCATATATAATTTAAATGTATGACTAAAACTGTACGCAGCAGAAACAAACGTATCCCCTGCAACAATCCACCACCTTCATCACAGTAGCTCCTGTTCTGTCACAGATTTCCTTATTAAAGCTGGAATAACTTTTTATTTGTATTATTATTACTATTATTTTATTTATTATTATTATTATTTTTTTATTGTTATTTTTATTTACTATTCTGTTATTATAATCATTATTCATTTATTTAGTTATCAATTTATTATTTTGAGCTTCTCTGCCCATCTCAAGGGAAAGGGGATATGGGGACCAAAAGGGGGATAAAAAGTCAAGTGTGATGCAGGCTAATCAGTGCAAAATGTGAATACATTGTCAAATACATTGTCATACTTAAATAAATAAAAATGTATCACAAAAAAATTAAAGCTGGAATAACCAGAGCCACAAACATTGGATTGAATTATATGTATGACTGAACGATTTTGGCAAAATATCAAATTGTGATCTTTCTGACCAACATTGTGATTTTGTTTTGCTTCTCTTTTATGCCTCTTTTGTTTGCAAAGCACTGTATTTTGAACTTCATAACCCACAAGCTATATATCATTTTAAAGCTTATTTTCTCAGCTACATTTATATATAAGACTACAATATCAGACTTTGCATTAAAAAGATATAACACATAATATGGGCACAAAATATATCTGCAGCCTTTGTGACCGAGGTATATTTCCATGGATGTATGATGGTTGTGCACTACTTCTAAAAGTTGCGTGTATTTCAATTTTTACCTCAAGAAAGAAATGTTAAATATGTCACTGTATATTTTGGAATTGTTTGATTGTAGTTTTGTATAATCCAAAAAAAGTTTAGCGTTTCAACATCACTGGTGCTGTAAGAGCAGGCTCCTCTGGCTCCTCTCCTCTGTCTCCACTGTGTCGTCTGCCTCTTCTGACGCCTCTGCCTTCTCTGGCTCCTCTGCCCCCTCTGGCTCCTCTGCCCCCTCTGGCTCCTCTGGCTCCTCTGCCTCCTCTGGCTCCTCTGCCTCCTCTGCCTTCTCTGGCTCCTCTCCTCTGGCTCCTCTGCCTCCTCTGGCTCCTCTGCTTCCTCTGGCTCCTTTGCCTCCTCTGGGTCCTCTCCTCTGGCTCCTCTCCTCTGCCTCTTCTGGCTCCTCTCCTCTGCCTCTTCTGGCTCCTCTCCTCTGCCTCTTCTGGCTCCTCTCCTCTGGCTCCTCTGTCTCCTCTGGCTCTTCTCCTTTGCCTCCTCTGGCTCCTCTCCTCTGGCTCTTCTGGCTCCTCTGTCTTCTCTGGCTCCTCTCCTCTGGCTCCTCTGCCTCCTCTGTCTCCTCTGGCTCCTCTGGCTGCTCTGCTTCCTCTGGCTCCCTTTGCCTCCTCTGGCTCCTCTCCTCTGGCTCTTCTGGCTCCTCTGTCTCCGCTGGCTCCTCTCCTCTGCCTCCTCTGGCTCCTCTCCTCTGCCTCCTCTGGCTCCTCTCCTCTGGCTCCTCTGTCTCCTCTGGCTCTTCTCCTCTGCCTCCTCTGGCTCTTCTGGCTCCTCTGTCTCCTCTGGCTCCTCTGCCTCCTCTGGCTCCTCTGCTTCCTCTGGCTCCTTTGCCTCCTCTGGCTCCTCTCCTCTGGCTCCTCTGTCTCCTCTGGCTCTTCTGGCTCCTCTCCTCTGCCTCTTCTGGCTCCTCTCCTCTGGCTCCTCTGTCTCCTCTGGCTCTTCTCCTTTGCCTCCTCTGGCTCCTCTCCTCTGGCTCTTCTGGCTCCTCTGTCTTCTCTGGCTCCTCTCCTCTGGATCCTCTGGCTCCTCTCCTCTGCCTCCTCTGTCTCCTCTGGCTCCTCTGGCTGCTCTGCTTCCTCTGGCTCCCTCTGCCTCCTCTGGCTCCTCTCCTCTGGCTCCTCTGGCTCCTCTGGCTCCTCTGGCTCCTCTGCCTCCTCTGGCTCCTCTGCCTCCTCTGCCTTCTCTGGCTCCTCTCCTCTGGCTCCTCTGCCTCCTCTGGCTCCTCTGCTTCCTCTGGCTCCTTTGCCTCCTCTGGGTCCTCTCCTCTGGCTCCTCTCCTCTGCCTCTTCTGGCTCCTCTCCTCTGCCTCTTCTGGCTCCTCTCCTCTGCCTCTTCTGGCTCCTCTCCTCTGGCTCCTCTGTCTCCTCTGGCTCTTCTCCTTTGCCTCCTCTGGCTCCTCTCCTCTGGCTCTTCTGGCTCCTCTGTCTTCTCTGGCTCCTCTCCTCTGGCTCCTCTGCCTCCTCTGTCTCCTCTGGCTCCTCTGGCTGCTCTGCTTCCTCTGGCTCCCTTTGCCTCCTCTGGCTCCTCCTCTGGCTCCTCTCCTCTGGCTCCTCTGTCTCCTCTGGCTCTTCTGGCTCCTCTCCTCTGCCTCTTCTGGCTCCTCTCCTCTGGCTCCTCTGTCTCCTCTGGCTCTTCTCCTTTGCCTCCTCTGGCTCCTCTCCTCTGGCTCTTCTGGCTCCTCTGTCTTCTCTGGCTCCTCTCCTCTGGCTCCTCTGGCTCCTCTCCTCTGCCTCCTCTGTCTCCTCTGGCTCCTCTGGCTGCTCTGCTTCCTCTGGCTCCCTTTGCCTCCTCTGGCTCCTCTCCTCTGGCTCTTCTGGCTCCTCTGTCTCCGCTGGCTCCTCTCCTCTGCCATCTGGCTCCTCTCCTCTGCCTCCTCTGGCTCCTCTCCTCTGGCTCCTCTGTCTCCTCTGGCTCTTCTGGCTCCTCTGTCTCCTCTGGCTCCTTTGCCTCCTCTGGCTCCTCTCCTCTGGCTCCTCTGTCTCCTCTGGCTCTTCTGGCTCCTCTGTCTTCACTGGCTCCTCTGGCTCTTCTGGCTCCTCTGGCTCCTCTGCCTCCTCTCCTCTGCCTCTTCTGGCTCCTCTCCTCTGGCTCTTCTGGCTCCTCTCCTCTGGCTCCTCTCCTCTGCCTCCTCTGGCTCCTCTCCTCTGGCTCTTCTGGCTCCTCTCCTCTGGCTCCTCTGGCTCCTCTCCTCTGCCTCCTCTGGCTCCTCTCCTCTGGCTCTGTCTTCTCTGCCTCCTCTGTCTCCTCTGGCTCTGTCTTCTCTGCCTCCTCTGTCTCCTCTGGCTCTGTCTTCTCTGGCTCCTCTGGCTCCTCTGGCTCCTGGCCTCGGGAACAAACCCCCAGTCCAGTCTACAGCAGTGCTTCACACGTCTCCAGTGAAACCAGACCCGGTCTTAGGTCCGTGCCTTCTGCCTCATCTCCTCAGGGCTATTTTTATCTGCTGCTGCTCTGGGGCAGAGGGCAGGAGACGTGTCGGGGCCAGTGGAGGTGGGCCACGAGCAGAGATGCAGCGTCATGAAAAAGAAAATAAAAAACGAAAGCAAGAGTCGATCTGGAGTCGTAGGCAAAACCACGGGCACCTATGGAACAGGAAGAACCCATGGCACATACACACTCTTTGGATGATTGTGTTTGGCTCTCGCACTGATCTGAGTTGGCATTAATAGTAAGAATGTTTTTTATGAATGTGTTTTGAATTTGCTAAGCGGGGCAGGTTCTGGTTAATGGTGTGATGGGAGACCTCTGGAAAGACCAGGTGCCACATTGAGGCGGCTGCGGCTGTAAAGTGCCAAACTGTTGTTGTGGAGTCTGGTGTGTGTGTGAATAGTTGTTGGTGGTTTTTCTATGCCCAAGCAGGAAGTAAAATCCTAATTGTTACTATATTGAACTTGCCAAATTTGGGCAAAGAGGAAATACAGTATTCAAAAAAAACAATTGTGTTTGCGTAAAATGTGCGAGACGTTGATCTTTCCTCTTTTCTCCGAACAGTCAAGTACATAAAGGAGATGTCGGCTTTCTTCAAGACGTCTGGCTCCCCCGGCTCGGCGCTCCCCTGGGACTCTCCCCCCTCCACCCCACAGAGAGGAGCCCCTGAGCCCACCTCTGCGGAGGTGAGGGAGCCCCGCAGCATCCCCCTCAAAATGTGCCAAGTGTTGCGGAAACAGTGCCCCCCAGACACAGAACACAGGTACTACAAGCATTGTTTATATACGTAAAGAGAACATTTTGGATTAAGATTGTTTCCTGGAGGAGGGGGAGGAAGAGGAGCAGTATGTGGAGGCGCAGAGAGAGGGAGAGGAGCAGTATGTGGAGGCGCAGAGAGAGGGAGAGGAGCAGTATGTGGAGGCGCAGAGAGAGGGAGAGGAGCAGTATGTGGAGGCGCAGAGAGAGGGAGAGGAGCAGTATGTGGAGGCGCAGAGAGAGGGAGAGGAGCAGTATGTGGAGGTGCAGAGAGAGGGAGAGGAGCAGTATGTGGAGATGCAGAGAGAGGGAGAGGAGCAGTATGTGGAGGCGCAGAGAGAGGGATAGGAGCAGTATGTGGAGGCGCAGAGAGAGGGAGAGGAGCAGTATGTGGAGGCGCAGAGAGAGGGAGAGGAGCAGTATGTGGAGGCGCAGAGAGAGGGAGAGGAGCAGTATGTGGAGGCGCAGAGAGAGGAAGAGGAGCAGTATGTGGAGGTGCAGAGAGAGGGAGAGGAGCAGTATGTGGAGGCGCAGAGAGAGGGAGAGGAGCAGTATGTGGAGGCGCAGAGAGAGGGAGAGGAGCAGTATGTGGAGGCGCAGAGAGAGGGAGAGGAGCAGTATGTGGAGGCGCAGAGAGAGGAAGAGGAGCAGTATGTGGAGGCGCAGAGAGAGGAAGTGGAGCAGTATGTGGAGGCGCAGAGAGAGGGAGAGGAGCAGTATGTGGAGGCGCAGAGAGAGGGAGAGGAGCAGTATGTGGAGGCGCAGAGAGAGGGAGAGGAGCAGTATGTGGAGGCGCAGAGAGAGGGAGAGGAGCAGTATGTGGAGGCGCAGAGAGAGGAAGAGGAGCAGTATGTGGAGGTGCAGAGAGAGGGAGAGGAGCAGTATGTGGAGGCGCAGAGAGAGGGAGAGGAGCAGTATGTGGAGGCGCAGAGAGAGGGAGAGGAGCAGTATGTGGAGGCGCAGAGAGAGGGAGAGGAGCAGTATGTGGAGGCGCAGAGAGAGGAAGAGGAGCAGTATGTGGAGGCGCAGAGAGAGGGAGAGGAGCAGTATGTGGAGGCGCAGAGAGAGGAAGAGGAGCAGTATGTGGAGGCGCAGAGAGAGGGAGAGGAGCAGTATGTGGAGGCGCAGAAAGAGGAAGAGGAGCAGTATGTGGAGGCGCAGGAGAGGAAGAGGAGCAGTATGTGGAGGCGCAGAGAGAGGGAGAGGAGCAGTATGTGGAGGCGCAGAGAGAGGGAGAGGAGCAGTATGTGGAGGCGCAGAGAGAGGGAGAGGAGCAGTATGTGGAGGCGCAGAGAGAGGGAGAGGAGCAGTATGTGGAGGCGCAGAGAGAGGGAGAGGAGTAGTATGTGGAGGTGCAGAGAGAGGGAGAGGAGCAGTATGTGGAGGCGCAGAGAGAGGGAGAGGAGCAGTATGTGGAGGCGCAGAGAGAGGGAGAGGAGCAGTATGTGGAGGCGCAGAGAGAGGGAGAGGAGCAGTATGCGGAGGCGCAGAGAGAGGAAGAGGAGCAGTATGTGGAGGCGCAGAGAGAGGGAGAGGAGCAGTATGTGGAGGCGCAGAGAGAGGGAGAGGAGCAGTATGTGGAGGCGCAGAGAGAGGGAGAGGAGCAGTATGTGGAGGCGCAGAGAGAGGGAGAGGAGCAGTATGTGGAGGCGCAGAGAGAGGGAGAGGAGCAGTATGTGGAGGCGCAGAGAGAGGGAGAGGAGCAGTATGTGGAGGTGCAGAGAGAGGGAGAGGAGCAGTATGTGGAGATGCAGAGAGAGGGAGAGGAGCAGTATGTGGAGGCGCAGAGAGAGGGATAGGAGCAGTATGTGGAGGCGCAGAGAGAGGGAGAGGAGCAGTATGTGGAGGCGCAGAGAGAGGGAGAGGAGCAGTATGTGGAGGCGCAGAGAGAGGGAGAGGAGCAGTATGTGGAGGCGCAGAGAGAGGAAGAGGAGCAGTATGTGGAGGTGCAGAGAGAGGGAGAGGAGCAGTATGTGGAGGCGCAGAGAGAGGGAGAGGAGCAGTATGTGGAGGCGCAGAGAGAGGGAGAGGAGCAGTATGTGGAGGCGCAGAGAGAGGGAGAGGAGCAGTATGTGGAGGCGCAGAGAGAGGAAGAGGAGCAGTATGTGGAGGCGCAGAGAGAGGAAGTGGAGCAGTATGTGGAGGCGCAGAGAGAGGGAGAGGAGCAGTATGTGGAGGCGCAGAGAGAGGGAGAGGAGCAGTATGTGGAGGCGCAGAGAGAGGGAGAGGAGCAGTATGTGGAGGCGCAGAGAGAGGGAGAGGAGCAGTATGTGGAGGCGCAGAGAGAGGAAGAGGAGCAGTATGTGGAGGCGCAGAGAGAGGGAGAGGAGCAGTATGTGGAGGCGCAGAGAGAGGGAGAGGAGCAGTATGTGGAGGCGCAGAGAGAGGGAGAGGAGCAGTATGTGGAGGCGCAGAGAGAGGGAGAGGAGCAGTATGTGGAGGCGCAGAGAGAGGAAGAGGAGCAGTATGTGGAGGCGCAGAGAGAGGGAGAGGAGCAGTATGTGGAGGCGCAGAGAGAGGAAGAGGAGCAGTATGTGGAGGCGCAGAGAGAGGGAGAGGAGCAGTATGTGGAGGCGCAGAGAGAGGAAGAGGAGCAGTATGTAGAGGCGCAGAGAGAGGGAGAGGAGCAGTATGTGGAGGCGCAGAGAGAGGAAGAGGAGCAGTATGTGGAGGCGCAGAGAGAGGGAGAGGAGCAGTATGTGGAGGCGCAGAGAGAGGGAGAGGAGCAGTATGTGGAGGCGCAGAGAGAGGGATAGGAGCAGTATGTGGAGGCGCAGAGAGAGGGAGAGGAGCAGTATGTGGAGGCGCAGAGAGAGAGGAGAGGAGCAGTATGTGGAGGCGCAGAGAGAGGGAGAGGAGCAGTATGTGGAGGCGCAGAGAGAGGGAGAGGAGCAGTATGTGGAGGCGCAGAGAGAGGGAGAGGAGCAGTATGTGGAGGCGCAGAGAGAGGGAGAGGAGCAGTATGTGGAGATGCAGAGAGAGGGAGAGGAGCAGTATGTGGAGGCGCAGAGAGAGGGAGAGGAGCAGTATGTGGAGGCGCAGAGAGAGGGAGAGGAGCAGTATGTGGAGGCGCAGAGAGAGGGAGAGGAGCAGTATGTGGAGGCGCAGAGAGAGGGAGAGGAGCAGTATGTGGAGGCGCAGAGAGAGGGAGAGGAGCAGTATGTGGAGGCGCAGAGAGAGGGAGAGGAGCAGTATGTGGAGGCGCAGAGAGAGGGAGAGGAGCAGTATGTGGAGGCGCAGAGAGAGGGAGAGGAGCAGTATGTGGAGGCGCAGAGAGAGGGAGAGGAGCAGTATGTGGAGATGCAGAGAGAGGGAGAGGAGCAGTATGTGGAGGCGCAGAGAGAGGGAGAGGAGCAGTATGTGGAGGCGCAGAGAGAGGGAGAGGAGCAGTATGTGGAGGCGCAGAGAGAGGGAGAGGAGCAGTATGTGGAGGCGCAGAGAGAGGGAGAGGAGCAGTATGTGGAGGCGCAGAGAGAGGAAGTGGAGCAGTATGTGGAGGCGCAGAGAGAGGGAGAGGAGCAGTATGTGGAGGCGCAGAGAGAGGGAGAGGAGCAGTATGTGGAGGCGCAGAGAGAGGGAGAGGAGCAGTATGTGGAGGCGCAGAGAGAGGGAGAGGAGCAGTATGTGGAGGCGCAGAGAGAGGGAGAGGAGCAGTATGTGGAGGCGCAGAGAGAGGGAGAGGAGCAGTATGTGGAGGCGCAGAGAGAGGGATAGGAGCAGTATGTGGAGGCGCAGAGAGAGGGAGAGGAGCAGTATGTGGAGGCGCAGAGAGAGGGAGAGGAGCAGTATGTGGAGGCGCAGAGAGAGAGAGTGAGAGAGAGGACGAGATAGAAAGAGACAGAGAGGGAGAGAGAGGGCAAGAGATAGAAAGAGACAGAGAAAGGGAGACAGAGGGAGAGAGATAGGTGGAAAAAGGGCGAGAGAGAGAGAGAGGGTGAGATAGAAAGAGACAGAGAAAGGGAGACAGAGGGAGAGAGAGAGGACGAGATAGAAAGACAGAGAAAGGGAGACAGAGGGAGAGAGAGAGGACGAGATAGAAAGACAGAGAAAGGGAGACAGAGGGAGAGAGAGAGAGGTGGAAAAAGAGAGAAGGCGAGAGAGGGAGAGAGAGAGAGATTGCGAGATAGAAAGAGACAGAGAGAGAGAGAGAGAGAGATAGAAAGATAGATAGATGAATAGATACTTTATTGATCCCGTTGTAAAAACATCCTGTGTCCAGCAGCAGCAGAAACACATCCATCCACATAAACAAAACAAATAATTATATAATTCCAAAAGTAAAAGTAATAATCAGCAACAGTCCTTCAGGTCACAGCAGCAGAGGTGGAGCCGCCTCTGGGTGGAGCAGGACAGGTCATAGCAGCAGAGGTGGAGTAGCCTCTGGGTGGAGCAGGACTGGTCACAGCAGCAGAGGTGGAGTAGCCTCTGGGTGGAGCAGGACTGGTCACAGCAGCAGAGGTGGAGTAGCCTCTGGGTGGAGCAGGACAGGTCACAGCAGCAGAGGTGGAGTAGCCTCTGGGTGGAGCAGGACAGGTCACAGCAGCAGAGGTGGAGTAGCCTCTGGGTGGAGCAGGACTGGTCACAGCAGCAGAGGTGGAGTAGCCTCTGGGTGGAGCAGGACAGGTCACAGCAGCAGAGGTGGAGTAGCCTCTGGGTGGAGCAGGACAGGTCACAGCAGCAGAGGTGGAGTAGCCTCTGGGTGGAGCAGGACAGGTCACAGCAGCAGAGGTGGAGTAGCCTCTGGGTGGAGCAGGACAGGTCACAGCAGCAGAGGTGGAGTAGCCTCTGGGTGGAGCAGGACAGGTCACAGCAGCAGAGGTGGAGTAGCCTCTGGGTGGAGCAGGACAGGTCACAGCAGCAGAGGTGGAGCAGCTTGGTTCGGACCATTTTCTCTGCTCTGGTCCAAAGTAAAATCCTAAATGCCTTGTTAGCATTTTTTTAAACGTTAGCATTCCTCCAGTGCAGGTTTAGGTCACAGCAGCTGATAAATAAGTGTTTTGTGGCAGTCAAAGCCTCTAGGTGGTGTCAACTCATTGTTGATTAATTGTTTAGTTTAATTAATAATCTCCCTCTAGTTCTCATTGAGATTTTTTGATAAGATTTTTTTTTTTCCCTGTGAAACCCAAGTGTAAAATGACATACATTAATGAAAGTGAAAAATGTCTGCTCATTACCAGTGACAGTAGCAGTAGTTTGAGCCGCCTGGTGCCTGACAATCTCCCAGTGTCATAATCACCTTTTGTTCTGATGTGTATGGTCTCCCCTGCAGCTGTGCTCTCCTCACTCACCCTCCTTTCTCATTTGTGTGCCAGGTATTTTGAAGTAGTTTCATCCAACAGAAAGAACTCTCTGTTCCTTCGGGCAAAAGACCCAGCTATGGCTCAGTCCTGGTACAACGCCATCCAGGCCGGAGCTGGCAGCCTGTTACAGCGAGTGAAGGAGGGGATGAGGAGCCTGCTGCCCCATATGGACGTCAAACATGTGGGCTGGATCACGGAGCAGGTACAACGGTCCAACGTCTCAGTCTGCTCTTTCTCACACTGCGACTGGAGAAAGTACTTACTGTAGTTATATCTGCCACACCAGCTCACGGTTTACTTTGATGCATCACAAATCATATAGATAGATGGATACGTACATAGATAGATAGATAGATACTTTACTGATCACCGTCGGAGAAATTCAGGTGTCCAGTAGCAGCAAAAATAAAACATAAAATTAATCATTCAAAAAAGCAGACAATAGTAATAATCAGCAACAGCCCTTTAGGTCACAGCAGCAGAGGTGGAGTAGCCTCTGGGTGGAGCAGGACGAGTCATAAGGTGGAGCAGCTGTTTGGTTCGGAGCATTTTCTCTGCTCTGGTCCAAAGTAAAATGCTGAATGGTTCACTTGCATTTTTCAAAAAGTTAGCATTTCTCCAGTGGATTTTCATCTGATCCACTTGGTTCAGACCATGAATCCTCTCCGCTCCGATCTGGAAAATTGTAAAACCATGAACACTGTACTGCAGAAACATCGTAGGTAGAAAAAAAGCAAGAGGGAAGAAGCTGGAACATGGCTTCTCCAGGGGCCAAAGAGTCATTGATTATTCTAAAACCTTGGTTTCAGAGTCTGGATTCTTAGAGAACCTCCAGAACAGACAGTTCACAGTCCTCTCTCTGGTGTCTGTCTGGTCTCTCTCTCTGGTCTCTCTCTGATCTATCTTTGGTCTCTCTCTGATTGATCTCTCTCGCTCTGGTCTCTCTTTAGTCTCTCTGTAGTCTCTCTCTGGTCTCTCTCTGATTGATCTCTCTCGCTCTGGTCTCTGGTCTCTCTTTAGTCTCTCTGTAGTCTCTCTCTGGTCTCTCTCTGATTGATCTCTCTCGCTCTGGTCTCTGGTCTCTCTTTAGTCTCTCTGTAGTCTCTCTCTGGTCTCTCTCTCTGGTCTCTCTCTGATTGATCTCTCTCTCTGGGGCAGCACGGTGGCTGGGTGGATAGCACTCTCGCCTCTCAGCAACAAGGTCCTGGGTTTGAATCCCGGTCGGACCAGGGCCTTTCTGAGTGGAATTTGCATGTTCTCCCCGTGTCTGCGTAGGTTTCCTCCGGGTGCTCCGGTTTCCCCTACCACTAAAAACATGCACAATAGGTCTGGCATGTGCCTCCTGTACTGGCCCCGCTCCCATCTCTGTGTGGAGTGAGAGACAAGTGCCCAAAATAATAACAATTGTAAACCACTTTGTGACTCTGGTCTGTGAAAGGCGGTATATAAATAAAGATTACTTACTTACTTACTTACTCTCTCTCTGCTCTCTCTCTGCTCTCTCTTTAGTCTCTCTCTTTGGTCTCTCTCTGATCTCTCTGGTCTCTCTCTCAGGTCTTTGTCTGGTCTGATCTCTCTGGTCTCTTTCTGGTCTATACCTGGTCTCTGTCTTTAGTCTCTCTCAGTCACAGAACCAACAATCAAACTTTCAATGCTGCAGCGATAAACGTTTAGCAGTTAGAGTTTGTGGTAAATTCTCTAAGCTTCTGCAGAGAGTAGAGACCGTGACGAGCTTTCTTAACAACCTGTTAGTGTTTTAGGTCATTAGACTGAGTTAAACCCAGAAACGTTCTCAAAGTGAGGCAAGGTCTCTTTCTGATAAGTTTGTGTCTCAGTGGCTGATTATGGCATAACGTTTTGTGTTTAAAATATACTCTATGGAATCAAAGATATTAAATCATTCAAGTTTATTTTTAACTTAAAGTGTGTTGCAAAGAAATAAACATACACACATCTCTCTCTGGTCTCTGTCTGGTCTGTCTGGTCTCTCTTTAGTCTCTCTCTGGTCTCTCTAGTCTATTTCTCTGGTCTCTCTCTGATTGATCTCTCTCTGGTCTATCTTTGGTCCCTCTCTAGTCTCTCTCTCTGGTCTCTCCCTGGTCTCTCTCTGGTCTCTCTCTGGTCTCTCCCTGGTCTCTCTCTGGTCTCTCTCTGGTCTTTCTCTGGTCTCTCTCTGGTCTTTCTCTGGTCTTTCTCTGGTCTCTCCCTGGTCTCTCTCTGGTCTCTCTCTGGTCTTTCTCTGGTCTTTCTCTGGTCTCTCTCTGGTCTCTCTCTGGTCTCTCTCTGGTCTCTCTCTGGTCTTTCTCTGGTCTCTCTCTGGTCACTCTCTGGTCTCTCTCTGGTCTCTCTATTGAGTATTAAAATCATGATAAAAAAAAAAAACCCACAAAGACTCAGAGGATGTCAGAACTAAAACTCACTATTAAAACTCCATATCTAAACTTGGGAAAACAGTTTCAGATTTTAGGAGCAGAAACTTTGGCGCCAAACTAACTATTTTTTGGCACGTGTTGAAAATGAGAAACGTCTGCATGAATCAAACACAATCAGATTCCTTTCACACTGCTCCAAAAATGCAAATGACACAAATACATTTCTGTGTCCCACTTTGAACGCAAACCTCCATCAAATTAAAAGTATTTTCTTTGTGGAACAATGATAAAAAGTGTGCACAGTGATCCGATTGTTTGGCCTCCTGTGTGTTGGGCACAGATGAGCCAGGGTCCAGAGAAGCCAGTGCTGGCCGTCCTGACCGACAGAGACCTGCTGCTCTACTCCTCACTGCCGGAGGCCAAAGAGAGTCTCAACAATCCCTCCAAGAGCTACCCCCTCATCACAACCAGGCAAGTCTACGTTTAAGTAGAATTCATTAAGAACGATGTGCACTTACCATAGACTGTAAATATTAACGCTGTTGACAAGTCATGTGACTTTTCTCTCCAAAGTCTCAGTGCGAGCCGGTGGTTAGCCCTGTCAGTCAAGTTATAGAACAGTAGGAATGAGGAGCACACAGCTTAAGTGATCAATAACTATCCATCCATCCATTTTCTTCCCCTTAATCCATTTCTGGGTTGGGGGTGTGGCAGTCAGCGCTGCACCCACTACACAAAGCACCAGCCCCTCACTGAACTTCCTGCAGGTGGTGAGTCCACAGGAGCTGAGATCTTTCAGCGGGAGCTTCAGGCAAAGTGGGGTTAAGTTTCTTGCCCAAGGACACAACAACAGCAGTCATCAGTGGGAGTCGTGAAGTAGGTCTTGTGGTGGGCTCGAACCTTCAGGCTCAAAGGCCAATGCTCTACCAACTGAGCCACTGTCGCCCCACAGTAACTATACTAATTGAAATAAAATAAAATCTCTAACTTTAGCATCAAAGAACAAGAATACAATCTGTATCTTGAACATAATAATAATAAGTGTTAGGCAGGGCCCAGCGTAGCCCACTTTAGCAGCTCGACACTACTAACTTTGAGAGCATGGAGAAGAGCCAGGTGGAGTCGGTTTCATGTGAAAATTCCAATAGTGATGTGCTCATGAGTGAAGTTTGGCTCCACTCACTCACACTGAACAGTAAAATCCTCTTACTCTGTAACATTTTGCTCACACTCACCATTCTGGGCTTAATAATGTGTGGTTTAAAACTCTACACGGCTCCAGTGTTTTTATTTTGATATAGTCTTTGCAAATCCAGATATGACCCTTAGCAAGCGCCAGGTGCCCTAGAATCCTTCTCCGTGGAGTTGGTTTGAGCGAGCCCTAATCAGCTTCTTCCACGATAAGGCAAACGCTGTGGGTGACATCAGCGCTGGGTTTTTCCACTCCTTATAAAGCGTACGTTTCACAAATATTCCGCAATGATATGGACATTACGAGACGGCCGAATAGCGAGCCGGTCAATAAACGTGCGGGGCAGAAGTGTAGAATAAAAAGCAGACAATCATCTTAGTCTTTTTCTTGTTTTAGTAACATGCAACTTGTATTTGAACTGAAATTATTATTGTTGTTATTATGACGTTTTTAGGATTGTATTGTCAAGGGCTACCAATGGAAAGAAGTATGGTGCTATATCTGGTGCAGCCATCTTTTGTGTGTTACTGCGAGTGTGGGCGGGTCCCGGTTCCAAAAGGTCACTCCTTGCCGGTGGGGGTGTACCCGGAAACAGAATTACCCAATGCTTTCGTATGGCTTTACAGGATGGTCCAACACTAGTATACACAGAATATATTTTTGAACCAGTCTAGTTTAGCCGCTGTGGACTCGTTAAATGAATGAGGCTAAAGCAGCTAACGTATGCGCAAATGAGTTTTTTCCCATTTTCTGCCGCTGCGGCCATTTTGAGAAAGCGATGGCACATTAGTTTCAACAGCGGAGACAGGCGTGACTACATCTGTTAATATTTACAGTCTATGGTCTATACAAGAATACATTTGATTGAACTGAATTGAATGTTATTTTGCCCCTCACTACCTCTCTTCAAATTTGCGTTTTTGAACAAATGAGAACCTTTTATGAGGAGTTACTGACCACTTGTAGTTGTAAAGCACATCGCCGCTGCCTACAGAGGTGTGTTGTTCCAGCGTGGTCGTCATTGGCGAGCTGACCAAATGGTAGCCCGACCAAATACCAGGAATACCCACAAATGCAAGGAAAGTAAAACGGAGGCTATTCTAACCAGAAGACTGTTTAAACGGTTATTAAAGCCACCACAGTGTGTCATACAGTGAGTCCACTTCAAACCAGGCCATCATCACTGTTTCCACATTTGATTATGGAGACGGAAAAGGACCCATTGATGCAACCGTCTAATTAAATGACTCATACGTTCATTCATTTTCCTCATAAAAAAAAAAAACAAGACAGTTACTTATTTCATTTCCGTGATTGTTTACTGTGCGCAGACTGGTGCACTCGGGTCCAGGAAAGTCCTCTCCTCTGCTGGACTCGGAGCTCTCTTTCGGGGTGCGCTCGGGGACCAAGCAGGGCGTGGAGACCCATGTGTTTAGAGTGGACTCGGCCAAAGACCTGTCGCTGTGGACCCACCTGCTGGTAGAGGGCTGTCACAACGCCGCAGAGCTGGTCAAAGAGGTCTCCACAGGTAGGCTGTCTGCAGTTACATCTTCATACGTCTCTGAACAGGTGAAGGATTCGTCATCATCAAAATCACAGTTTGACTTTTGTTCCATTCAAGACAAAGACGACCATTGGAAGGAATATTATATGTTTGTTTACACTTGCTCTTTATCTTGAGAATATGTTGAAAATATTTGGATAAAAGTACGAGAATAAACTACCTCCATCTGGGAAGTGGGCTCCAAGCTGCTTTTTTAAACAAAATGTTCTGTTTCTTCCATGTTGTTGTAAATACTATATAGTAATAATAGTATTACCATTTTCAAACATTAAAAACAGAGATCCTTATTGCAGATTACGCTTAACAAAATTCATTCTATATTTCTTTTCATGAAACATGAAACATAAATATCATCCTCTGCTGTCTGAAAATGGGCAGAAATGCTGTAACATTTTGAGATTTACCTTAAAGCTTTACTTGCTATAAAATGTCGATAACAGCATATTAAAAAGAAAAATATTGGAGAAAATATGAACAAGATACAAGAATAAATCCAGTCTTCTCTGAGGGATATGGTTCAGACATTAATGTCTTGTAATGAGATTTTAGCATTTTGATTGTAATGTAATAGACTAGCTGTAGAGGATGGAATACTCACTGTGCACTCTGAACATATTGCCACAGTGCCACCTGCTGGTAGTGATGGAGCGTGGAACAAAAAGCACACCCATCATTCATAAATAATTATGATTTACATACTTTATGCACTCTGTAAAACTCATGCTGTTTCTTCACAGTTTTGTTCCCCACACTTGCAGTAAAACTAAGACACTAATCAAAGGACACACTCTGTTGTTGTGTAGTGTGGGTTCACAGTGGTGTTGTGTTGCAGCTTGCAGCTGGAATGGGAAAGAGTGTACTCTGTGCGTCCACATCGACGAGGGCTTCACCCTCTTCACGGAGGAGATGGGAGTGAGGAAGAGCGTCCTGCTGCAGCAGCCCTTCGAGCGCCTCAAGATGTCCTCCGACGACGGCGTGCGCATGATGTTCCTCGACTTTGGAGGCTCCGAGGCCGAAATAGTGCGTTTGTCATTCTATCAGTTATAATCAACATGTTACACTAAAAAAGCTTTTCACAAAGCTACAATATCATTATAAACATACTTAGTTCAATTTCAAGAATGTATTTATTTGACATTTGCAGTAAAACCACATTGGAAAAACTGTACAAGACTGAGCAGAGCAGTTGTTTTGGGTTTGGCACAAACTCATCCTCTCTAAACACTCTGTGTGGAATCTAACCAGTCCCTGAGCTGTGGGGTCTGTTCTGCCTTCTTAGACCCATTTATCATTACTATATTAGTTTGATGCAGTCCAATTAGGTCAATTTCAACAGATCATTTTAGTCTTTTCTCATCACTGTAACACATTTGTCTCTCTCACAATCACACATGAATCTAAATGTTTTCTAAGTAAGTAAGTAATCTTTATTTATATACCGCCTTTCACAGACCAGAGTCACAAAGTGGTTTACAATTGTTATTTTTTTCTGTTTTCCTTTCAGCAATTGGACCTCCACAGTTGCCCCAAAACTCTAGTCTTCATCATCCACTCTTTCCTGTCAGCTAAAGTCAGACGACTGGGGCTGCTAGCATGATCCACGGACACAGCGCTCACGCAGCAATAGGAATATTCAATAAAACAGAGAGAAGCGGTACTCTATAGTCTTCTGGGCGCCGAGGAGGAACTATAAATGGACCTTTTGTTGATCGTAAGTTTACTGAGGACAGATGAAACCATCCAGCTTCTGACAGCATCTTCTTTTATTTTCAAAGATGTCACCGTTTATTGCATTGTAGCACGTTTTCATTTGTTTTGAGTCACAGCAGGCCTTTTATCATGAGGGTCTTTTCATTGTTCAGTCAGTCTGTGCGCGCTGTAAGCATTCATAAAAGGATATTTCACTCTGACTGATGCTAGACAAACATTGTGTTTTGTTTTGTTTTCATGTTTTCTTTCTAACGACGGCAGCTTGAGCAGAGTGACAGGATGACACCAGGACTGAAGGCTTCACTATCAATGCTCTGTACGAAAAGAATTGTTCAGATTATAACTGTGCAGCAAAGTAACATACATCGGTACTTGTGGTCGTAACATTGTATACTGTTATAAAACCCAACAGATTTAAGGTTTGGCAAGACAAAGACTGGATGATTCTATAATAATATAATAATAATAATAATAATAATGCTTTGGTTTTATAAACAGCGCTTTTTTGAAAGATGTCATTATTCATTCACTACAAACACAGAGGTGATAAACTGTAGCCACAGCTGCCCTGGGGCACACTGACAGAAGCGAGGCAACCAGTCTGTGCCATCAGCCCCTCCCACCACCACCAACCATTCACACACACACCACTCATTCTAGGCACTGTTGGTGAAGTGTCTTGCCTAAGGACACAACAGCAGTTTGGTACTTTACAGCCGCAGCCGCCCCACTGTGGCACCTGCTGTTCTCAGAAGTCTCCCATCACAGTACTAACCAGGCCCTGCCCTGCACAGCCTCAGAGGTCTGATGGGATCTGGCTTTTACAGTTTGACCACATAAACTCCACTAAAATCAAATCAATAAATCATTTTACCCAAATTATTGTAAAGGGCTTTGGTCTGTAAAATAGACTCCATACATAAGGATTACTTTCTTATGTTTCTGACCTTATTTACGGTATTTACCTTATTTACGGTATTTACCTTACCTACGGTACTTACCTTATTTACGGTACTTACCTTTTTTACGGTATTTACCTTATTTACGGTATTTACCTTATTTACGGTACTTACCTTATTTACGGTATTTACCTTATTTACGGTACTTACCTTATTTACGGTACTTACCTTATTTACGGTATTTACCTTATTTACGGTATTTACCTTATTTACGGTACTTACCTTATTTACGGTATTTACCTTATTTACGGTACTTACCTTATTTACGGTATTTACCTTATTTACGGTATTTACCTTATTTACGGTACTTACCTTATTTACGGTATTTACCTTACTTACGGTACTTACGGTACTTACCTTATTTACGGTATTTACCTTATTTACGGTACTTCCCTTATTTACGGTATTTACCTTACTTACGGTATTTACCTTATTTACGGTATTTACCTTATTTACGGTACTTCCCTTATTCACGGTATTTACCTTATTTACGGTATTTACCTTATTTACGGTACTTCCCTTATTCACGGTATTTACCTTATTTACGGTATTTACCTTATTTACGGTATTTACCTTACTTACGGTATTTACCTTATTTACGGTATTTACCTTATTTACGGTATTTAACTTATTTACGGTACTTACCTTATTTACGGTATTTACCTTATTTACGGTATTTACCTTATTTACGGTACTTCCCTTATTTACGGTATTTACCTTATTTACGGTATTTACCTTATTTACAGTACTTACCTTATTTACAGTACTTACTTACTACTGTAAATAAGTAGTAAGTATCAGGTCAATCACAAGCCAGAGTTATTTTCCCTAAACACAAACTTTAACTGATACATTGTTTTTATCTAACATACTTGCAATGTGTTAGTATAACACTTTGATTTAAATAATACAAAAATGTTTACGAAAAGGTATCAATACTTTTTCATGAAAACCGGCACTTTGCTTTGACATCTTTATATTGATTCATGTTTTCATTATCTTGAGACATCCAGGGAATAAAATGTAAAAAGTTGAAAACAAGATACAGCTTATCTACAGACTTATTCAGTTTAGAAGCTTTCAATATTGATAAATTGATCAATTACAAATGGACAAAGCAGGACGCCCAAACCAGAACTTTTGAAATGCACTTAAGCAGTTCGACTCTGATTCGACTGATTTGATTCTGATTTACTGTCTTAGTGCTTATTTTATAACAGAAATCTATCTCCAGTCGACTTATTTTTCCTATTTTTTTTAACAAAGAAATTCAAAATTTTCCCGGCTGTTTATTTTTCTTGCTGAATTCTGTTTTGTCCTTTTTTGCGCATTTTCACGACCAGGAAACACTGGAAACGATAAACAAGGACCAATGTGATTATAAACATTTATGATTTGAACAACACGAACACACAACATTTCTGTCAAACTGCTGCTTGTGCATGGAATGTTTTTTTTTTATATTTTGGAACGAACTCTGGTGTAGTTCAAGGGAATCTTTTTATTTTATAACATTTGCAATTAATTTCACCAAATAGAGCAATAATAAAAGTGTGGCATAATGTCAAATGCACTTTATATTGTGAAGAAACTAGGTCTTAACCGCTGACTGTGTATATATGGACGATGCTAACCCCTGTCGCTCAATGAAACCCATTGGGAAGGGCTCATAGACAAAGTTTCACTCAAACTCGCTTTAGATTCTTTTGGCTTGCATTGAACAGTAAACTTCTCTTGTAACCGTTTATGTCATAACCACAATTTTGGGCTTAAAAAAGTGTGGTTTAGCGCCCTCTGTGATTGATTACCAGTTATGAGCCAATAAGGAAAGACCAGTTAGCACAGGGACATCAAAGTCAAACACATCAGAGGCCGAAAACCCTAATTTGCTACAAGCCGAAGGTTGGACTGGTTCAAAGATTATTAAAATATATTAAAATGAGGCCTATTACTTAATGAACCAAGACATAACACTGAACCGTATTTTATTTAATGATTAAATTAATAATCCGATATAATTGTGGCTCTGTCAGTCAATACAAGTGAAAACCTTTGTCAACAGCTCAGACACAAAAACAAACTTCCTGCAAAGAGAAAACACACGTCCTGAATAAATGAATAATACTATATTTTCTTTTGTCTCTGTGCGGCCGGTTCTAATACTAACAAATATCATCCCAGGCGCCAAGATCATTCAATCGTGACCCGGATTTGGCTCTCGGGCCTTGACTTTGACACCCATGTTTTTTATGCTTTTATTCGCGAGCATTACGGCGTGAAAGCCTTCTATGGACAAGTGTTGAGAATTAGCCTGGTCTTACTATAACACTAAAGGCAGTGCATCTGGTCTGTCCAATGTAACTGTTGCCCATATAAGGAAATTGGCTCCAGCTATCTTATCTTCAAATCAGCTTCTTCCGTCTTGAGGCTAGCACGATGCGTGACATCGGTCAGTCAGTCCAATCCCAATATACATCAGTTTTTAATCTTAACCAGGACTGAGCCAGAGCAAAACTAAGTCCAAACAAAATGAATCCAAAAGTACAGGATACTGCGCAGTACTATCAACGTAAAAGTAGGCCCCTGTTTAACCGGTACTTAAACTAGGTACTTTTTTAGTACCTACCTCGCTCTGGTTCTATCCAGGCCAAGCTGGTGCTAAAGTGTTCTAACAGCTAGTGATCGGTCAAAGTGCTGCTGGAAGCCATGGTGGTCAATGAATTTCCTTGTATACTGGTTTGTTGTTGGTCGGTTGCTAGGATACGGTGCAAGATACGAAAGCATAATGGACAGGCAACCAGGTAGAGTAGGGTAGAGCAGGGTAGAGTAGGGCTAGTGGAAACAGGGCTTTATGGTCCCCTTGAACGACAGTAAACAGAAACTTACGATAATTCATATAATTCTAGTTTTTTTTGTCCAATGTTTGTAAATCAAGATGAGCTGATTATGAGATGATTTAGTAGATTCAGTTTTTTTTAATGCCATTTGTTGTCATTTTGTTTGCACATTTACATCACACAGTTATTATTATTTTTTAGCATAACCACTACATTTGCTACAGTTTGTGTTTTTCTAAGTGAAAGCCCAATGTTTGTATAGAAATATCTTTGATTTTGTTTTGGGGAGATTACCGCTGATTAAATTGCCGTCAGATCTGTTTTTAGCATTTTGTAAAAACTCTACACACTTTAATCGAAACAAGAAAGTCTGAATTCATAATGAACATAGTTTATATTTCACAGATAAATTTATTCCTTCTTTCTTGTGTTGGCTAAAGGCTGTAAAAGGTGTAGTTTTGTATAAAATGTGACCAAAATATCCTTTAATAATATTGGTTATTAATAACATTTGACTAAACGTTACTTTTCCCCTAAAAGACTTGTATTAATATATATTTCAAGACTTAAAATTGTTTTATTTCAAGTATGTTCCTATTTAAATAAAAGTGTGCCTTCTGGGGTTGTTTGTAAATGAACACATAATAAACTTTTCATTAAACATTGACAAAGGTTTTATTCACATTTTACTAGAGGCAAGTTTTTTCTTTTTCTTCTGGCATTTACGACTTATTAATCTGACAATTTATTACTTATTATTCCTCACTTTTAAGCCTAAATATCTGTTCTTTCTACGATTAGTTTCTTTGCCACAGCTCCGGGTCGAGGGAGACAGTCCAGAGGTGAAAGAGGCTGGACTCAGGGGTCCCATCGTCACGCCATCACACAGACAAGGGGACAGAGGGTTAATAGCAATGAAAAGACTACAGCTGCAGTCATAATAACTAAGGCTGCACGATATATTGATAAAATATCGTTATCGCGATATTGGTGCGTGCGATATCCATATAGAAAATTTGCGCAATAAAAAAATATACAGTATATATATATTTTTTCTCTTTATCAAAAACAGACACATCAACATTCAACAA